AACTGACGGACCGAGGGACTTGGAGTAACGGCACGAAAAGTTCACGGATGCAGTTTCAGGCTCTACTGTGCAACTAACCTTTAAGACTGTGTCTTCTTGAGTTTTGGGGAAGTATCAAAACAGAGTATCCACAATGATCTGAGAGGCTATTCCTGTACCCCCATCCTTCCAACCACGTGTGTGTGAGGCTGGGTTTTCTGCATCTGTGGCAACGCGAACAGCGTATCCCAGCAGCTCGGGGCAGAGCAGTGTGAGAAGCCGTCTTCTGTGGAGCCTGGGAGACGAGTCAAACTGTCAGACGGTGCCATTCTCACCAAAAGCTTTGGAAAATGTCATTGTTTTTCATAAAACACGCTGTTTATATGAGGATAGAATGGATTTCCTGTTGTTATTTTCAAGTGAATTAATATTTTTAGAATTAGAAAATCTAATAAATCTATATGCCACATAAACAAAAGTTTTCTGTGGTTTTTATTATTTTCTGCGGCCGCTGTCAATTGTAAACACGTGGAGAAATCCTGAGCAGCTCTGGCTGGAGGGCCGGGGGTGGCCTGTCCGCGCCTGGCTGTGGTCAGCCGAGCAGGGGAGCCGGGGGCAGTCGTGGTCGTGGGCCCCATGCAGCGGGTCACGGGCGGGCCGCTGTCCCTCGGGAGTTGTAGGCAGAGCAGGCACGTGACCAGCCTTCCTGTGGCTGCGCCGCCTCGTGAGGCCGGAGGGCTGGGCCGACTTGCTCGGCTCCCAGCACCCTGTCCAAGCGCAAAGCCGACGCTTAGAGCTCCGGCGGGAACACGGATGTCCTCTCCGGGACAGCGTGAGCTCCCCCAGGGCAGGGCCTGTTCACACTGAGCCCCCGAGCCGGGAGAACAGGGACAGAGCAACACGCAGGCCCCGCCCTCCTGGACCGTGCCATCTGGTGAGGGATGTTAAACAGTGTGCAGCACAGTGACCTAACTGTGAGCAGTGAAGGAAAAGCACAGGCTGACACGAGAGAATAAAGCAAAATGACGGAATTTGGAGTAGGGTCAGGGAAGGCCTCTGATGGTGTGATCTCTTCAAGCCAAGACCGGAGGGACAGCCAGTTAGCCAGGCAAGGGATGGGCCCTGGTGGCCCTGGGCCAGTTTCCTCCCCTAGGCACAGGGACAGCACAGCCCGGAGGACTGGGAACGGGACTGTGCCTGGCAAGGAGCAACAGCAGGGCGATGTGGCCTGGGAGGGGGTCTGCTGGGCTGTGAGGGAGGGGACATGTGTCCTTCTCTCAGTGACGGTGGGATGTTTCGGGAAGGAACGACATGAGCAGGTTGGGTTTGGACGGTTCATTCTAGTTACTGGGGGGAGGGGGTCGCTCGGAAATAGGGTAAAAGGACAAGTGTGGGAGCTGAGAGACTAGATCGGGTCCACTTGAGAGATGGTATTTCCCCGAGATGTCAGAGGAATGAAAGGGAGGACAGCTCGCTCCTTTATCGCCATGACCCTGTATATATACATGGACTGAGCTGTATTTTGTACTTGGAATCAGCCAAAGGCTGAGGAGCGATGAACTGAGATGTGGTTTGGAGGCAGAGCATTCTGGGCTTGTGAAAGAATGGATGAAGGGGCGGAGGGAGCAGGGAGGGAGAAGGTGCCTGAGCCGTATCCTGGTTTCTGGCTTGAGCACCTGGAGAACGCGGCCACGTTGGTGCGATGGAAAGACGGTGGAGCAGGCAGAGGGGGTCCAGCGTTCCGTCTGGACTTGAGGGGCTTGAGGGGTTTAGAAGCAGCCTCTGGGAGTCCGAACACATCAAGCCGAGATGTTCCTGGAATGGGGTGGACACTGCTCGAGTAGACACGGGTGGTCTGTTCCCTGTGGGACAGTGTGGACCGAGAGTTTCTCTAGCAGCGACTCCAGAGCTACGGTGGGGAAGGCTGTGGGAGGGGCTGCCCACTGAGGCCGGTCTCAGCTCCTCCCCCAGGAGGCTCTGGGCATCCCGGAAGATGACCTCTGAGACCCAGAGAGGAGGAGGGACCTTGGGTGGACCCACCAAACCTAACCATAACGATGCTCAGAATAAGTGGGTCAGCATCCCCAGCTCTGGTTAGACGTGGGAGACACCCCGGTCTTCTGTAGAGATCAGATACTGTGCTGTTCAGAATCCCAGCTGGAGCCTCGGTACTGCCACACACATCGCGAGCTCGGGGGGCTGGACAACAGAACAAGAGAGCTGGCCAAACGCCAAAGTGAAGCCCGTCTCCCGAGACTCTGGGCCTAGTTCCAGGCACAGTCATCCAGCATCCGGAGGAGCGGAGAGTTTGTCCTGGGCTGGGTTGTGATCGAAAGTCCGCTGGTGGAGGCATTGCAACCTTTTCGACGTGTTTCTGCCACTGGGGAGGGGGCACAGCTCAGGCCGGTGGGTGCAAAGCCACACCAGCCCCAAAGAGAAGGCAAGGGTGTGCGTGCCCGTGTGTGGGATTCTGAGGAGGTCTGGAGTGTGGCACGGAGGGGTTTTGGCTGAGACAGAGATGCTGGTCCAGGGCACTTTGAAGTCTTTAATGGAACCTTGCGTGTGTAATGGGTCATCCTTGTCCCTCTATCGCAGCCCAGTGCTGGCCGGGCTGGTGCTGTAAACTGCTTCGTGGGAAAAACGTGGAGGAGACCGAACATCCCAGGTGGGGGAGGGGACGTCTTCACGGGCCAGCGGCACAGGAGGCTGGACGCTCCCCAGGGCTCGTGGGAGGAGGGGTGTCAGAGGGGTAAAGGGAGGGAGGAGAACTAGATAGCATGGGGGATAAGGGCTGACAGAGGACAGCAGAGGGGTGGACGACCCCTGAGGGACATCAGAAGGCAGGGGGCAGAAGGGTGCCCTGGCCGGCTGGAACGGGAACCGGACACAGCGGTTCCTAGGCTTAGGCATTGGAGACTGGCGTGGAGACTGCTCTCTGACCTGGCGGTTTGCTGGCAGGGTCACTCAGCACATGATGGTTCTCTAGACCCTTCTGAGCGAATGCCCCCAAACATCTCTGATGTCATGTCATTTTTCAAACCAATATTTGTAGCTTTAAGTGTCACCTTCATTCACTCAGTCTCCCATCTACATACTCATTAATTAATTAAAAAACACACACATGTTGAGTGCATTCAATATGCGGGGCACATTCTAGGTACAAGGTTAAAACAGTGTGGTCATTCTGAAAGTGGGGTCTCGGGACCAACCACAGCATCACCTGGCATGCTAATGATCTATGACTGCCTAACAAGCCCCCCTCCCCCCAGCATAGTGGCCTAAAACTACAACCATTTGACCCCTCATAGTTTGTAGGTTCTGGATTAAGGTCTGCTGTGAAATGGCAGTTGACATATTGGCTGATGCCAGGCACCTGAAGTCTGATTGGGACTGGGGGACCTGTTTCCAAGGTGGCCCTGTCACCTGGCTGGCGGGTCGGTGCTGGTTGTTGGTGGGAGGCCTTAGTGTCTGTCACGGACGTCTCTCCACGCAGCTGCTTGACCGTTCTCACCACATGGTGCCCGCTTCCCCTGAGCGAACCACCCAGGACAGTAGCGGCAAGCTGCCATCTCGTTTATAACTGCGTTTTGGAAGTCACACACCATCACGTCCACAACACTCTATGGGTCACGCAAGTCAGCTCTGTTCAATGTAGGGGGAAACCCACCAGGAGTTGAGCAGGAAGCAAGAAATCACAAGGTCACACATCAGACATGCAAAGTCGCAGGCCTGACCCTGACCTGTTGATAGACACCCTGGAGGCCGTGCCCTGCAGGGTGTTTTCATCAGCCTCCCGGAGGTCTGGGGGCCATGGTGGTGACGGGCAGCTGCCCTGCTCCCGCCTGGCGTGAGGACTAGGCAGTCCTGAAACGATGCCCTCCAGGCACACGGGGAGCAGGAGCGGCTTCCTACCTGGTGTTTAGGGTCTGCTTAACCCGGATTCTCCCTGACCGGTCCCCCATTCCTCACTCAGCCCCTCCTACTTCACCTCTGGGGTTGTCTGGGCTCCTTCCCCCCATGCGCGTGCTCCCTTCTGTGGGTGGACGGCTGTGGGCTGACGGCTGTGGGCTGGCCTGGCTGGGCACAGCACAGTGGCTCCGTGAGTGGTCCTTGCCTCCAGTGCCCTGTCCTAGAGTTCCCATGCGAAGACCCAGACCCTGTGCCCTGCATCTCACCCAGGCCTGACCTTCCTCAGGCCCAAGGGAGGCTCCACTGCCACGGAGCGTCTCAGACACCATCTCCCCGAGCTCCTCCCTCTGGAATCTCAGCTCTGACTCCTGCAGACTAGCCCTCGGCGCCACGGGTGCGTTTCGTCCTGTTTCCCCCGAGAGTCTCCAGCTGTACAATCCTCGCGGCTCCATCACTGTCCGAAACCGCCTTGGTCAGTGTTGTTTTCCCGCTGTTTCTGTCGCCACCACCGATCCTGCTACACTGTCCTCCACCAACAGCACCCCCCCCCACCTGCCCAGCCCCCGTGGAGAAAGCTTTCAAGCTCAAATACCTCCACGTCGGCGTCTTGGCTCGGCTCATGGGCTCCTACTCCGTGCATGGCCCGCAGTAGGGCCTGGAGCCCGTGTGGATGGAAAGGGGCCACGTGCTAACCTGACAAGCTCAGGGAAGGCCCGCGTGGCAGCTTTGCACACTCAGAGCCTGAAAGTAACCACAGAGGATGGGGCCAGTCCACAGGCGGCTCCCTAAGTCCGTCAACCTCCGTTTCTGCGTGCCCCGAAGGACCTCCGAGCAGTCTCCCCTCTGGGGCAGCGCTGCTGGCGGTGTCCTCCCGCCGGGCTGGGCACACTGAGAGGGCAGACGGGGTCTGTGGGTTCCTCCGCGCTGGCTTCCTGTGGAGGAGGCCCTTGGAGAGCCTTGTCCCAGCAGTCCCCGGGGCGTCCCTCAGTCCCACCCCCTTTTCCTTTTATAAATGTAGCAGCTGAACTGTGACTCAAATACCCGCCATTGTCTTGTCATTGGAAGCAGGCGAAGCTCTAGCCGTCTCCAGGACCGGTTCCGGTTCCGTGCAGCTGGCCCAGCTGCAGATGAAACACCTCACAGCCCTGCTCAAAGCCGCCTGCGGGTGCGGGGCCGTCCGGGGCTGCCGCTCCCTGGTGGGCTTCCAGAAAGAAGTGCTGTTCGTAGACCTGAGCCCAGTACACACTGTTAGATGTAAACTGTAATTGAAAAAAAAACAAAAAGAACCTGTGTTTGGCCCTCTCTCGGTCTCTCTTTTTTTTAATGAATCACAAATTTTATTTCAAAATGTAAACGTTACTAATCATGCATTCACGTTAAAACAATCAAATTTACAGTTTAGTTCATTGTTTTCATTTTGCAGGGGACGTCCTGACAACCTAGACTCTAAGGCACACAAAGCACATACAAGGTTCTGTCGCAGGGAGCCAAGGCCGGACGGGGAACCACAACCTGTAACACCCCACGGGAGGGAGGTGGGCGCGGCCTCTGGAGCACGTGACGCTGGTCAAAAACAAGGAGGTTCCCACGGGAAAGGGAATGTGCGCTCGGCCGAAATGGTCTTGGACCCTTGGACTCGGCCGGGGAGTTTGGCGGACGATTCCAGGGACACTCCATCAGTGGCTTCGGACAGAGAAGGGGTCATCTGTGCAGCAGGTCTGGGGGCAGCAGAGTCCCCCATGCATGTCCCCAACACACCCACACAAGCAGTGCCGGAGGCGGGAGGTGTTGGGCCCTCCCTTGCTAAGTGATGCTCTTGGGGTCCCTCTGGCCAGACTGGGGAGGAAAGCAGCTTCCTGCTGGCCTCTGATGAGCCCTTGTTCAGAACAGATGGCAGCCGGTGCAGCAGAGACCTTCGGGGTGGCGTCGGGACCACGCCCGTTGCCGCGGCCCTGGCCTAGGGAAGCCAGGGCAAGGACAAGCGTGACGAAGGCCACGACAGAGTCTCCGAGAACCTGTGTTCTCAGGTGTGAGACAAGGGTGACCTCCACAGTCCCTTCCTGCCCTCACGCTCTGGGATTACAGGAGGAGCTGCCAAGCCTGTTGTAGACCCTTGACTTTGAGAGTCCTGCGGGCTCCCCTCAGTACGGCCCCCTTCCCCTCACGAGCTGCGATCGTCCTGCCAGTATTGCAGAGATAAGAGATGGATGCTGGCTACTAACTCCTAACAGCCTACATGCAACGCTTCATGTCCCATTTCTCTAGGAAACAGTCAAATGCACACCAGCAAGGTGAACTTTGAGGACTGTCCACTCCCAGATGTCAGGATGGTTTGAATTTGGGTCTGTGTTCATGCCCAAGCTCCAACTACTGGTAATAGTGTCCTCTATCAGTTATCGCTGAGATGCTCATCCTTGGTCATTAAGGAATTTAACTCCATTTATCGAGTACCTACCCCTCTTATCATGGGTGAAACAATCGTGGATGTTAGAGCAACAAAAAGAACAGAATGTTCTCTTCCTGGGGGACATAATTTTCCCTTAGGAGTATTATTTTTTAATCCTCATCCGAAGATATTTTTCCATTTATCTTCAGATAGAGTCGGAGGGGAGAGAGAGAAAGATACATATTGGTGTGAGAGAGACACATCGATTGGTTGCCTCCCACACAACCCAACCAGGGCCGGAGACTAAACCGCGAGGTAGGTGCCCTTGACCAGAATCGAACCCGCAACCCTTTGGTTCACCGGCTGACACTCTAACCACTGAGCCCAACTGGCCAGGGCATCTATTAAGTGCATTTTATGCGCCGATGGCCCAAGGGGACAGCTGTATGTCTGAGCACCTTAAGTCTTAGCACGTTGCCTTCATCAGAACAGCGGAGACTGATTTTTTAGTTAATGCAAAACTATGTGCTAGTCATCATGCTAAGCGCTTCGTAGGTATTTTCTCAATTAGTTTCCACGGCAATCCTATTCTAGAATGTGGAAACTGAGGCCCAGAGATCTCAAGTGCTCCGCCAAAGTCATGTAACCAGCAGGGACAGAAGAGACTCAAAGCAGTCTGCCTCCTCTGAAACCCACGAGTTTAGCATATGAATAGTCTGCTTCCTGTCCAGTTGACAATCCAGAAATACTGGCTGAGAAATTGATTGAAGAATGTTTTTGAGAGAATAAATCAGCTTGGCCGGTGTGGCTCAGTGGCCGATGGATGTTCCTCTTCCAAATTAATGTGAGTGAGGCCCTGACCGGGAGGTCCAGGAGCTCAGCAGAAGTGAGGACGGCCCTGGACGTCTGTCCCCTCATTGTGCTGCCCGTGTGCCGGGAGCCTGCTCTCTCGGCCTCTGCAGCCTCCCGTCTCAGCCGCGCCTCAGGAAAGCCCAAGAGACTCACCCCACCGAGGGGCAGAGGCGTCCTACGGCCGGATGAAGAGAGGGGAGCATGAGCCGCTCCGAGGGAGAGGCTGCGGGGTGCGGAGGAATCGGGGCACGATTCACAGGGCCCTGATTGACATTGACCCAGGCCAGCCTCGTTCTCCGTGCCAACCAGGCAGAGGAGCAGGCGGGAATCTGCCCTAGTGAGCGCTTGCTACCATGTGCCAGGGCGCTGCCGAGGCCTTCGACTGCAATCTTCTGAGTCGGGTTTGAGTACTTCCGTCTGACAGATGAGGAAACTGAGGCTCCGAGAGGCTACGTAACCAAACCCTATGCTCGCAGCACGTGGTGAAGCTGGGTTTGAACCTAGATGTGTCCTACTTCTGAGCCCATGTGGCTCCCTCAGGAGGGGGCGTGTCACGCCTGGTGTTTCCATTCCTTGGGTGGCAGGGTCCAGGGTCCCCTCTACTTCCCTCCTGCTTCCTGGCGGCCTCCCTGCCGCTGGCTCACACTGGCGCTTCTAGAGCTAGAAGGTGAATCCTTTGCGTGTGTGTGTGTGTGTTCACATACAACACACATGTATGATGTGGGAAGGATGGAGAGGAGAAGGAAAGCTTCTGAGCCTCAGACTTAGGGTCTCTGCAAAAATGTGGGGTCTGTGGGGTCACGCGAGGCCGCCTCCCCCCCACACCACCAGCTCCTTTGCAGCCCAACCTGTCTCCTCCCCGCCAAGCTCAGGTGCCAAACAGCCCCAGGACTCTGCCGTTGCGTTACAGTTATCCCAACGGGGATAATTGCAGATAGACACAAAAACAACTGTATTTTACTCAATTCCTCCTTCTTCTATGTGCTCAAAAGCTTTAGGGGGAAAGGCTGTTCCAGAAAATTATACCCTGCAGCTCCCTTTCTGCTGCTCATGGGAAGTCATTTAAGATGGAAATGAGAGCCCATTATTGCATTTAATCACCCACCAAATGAATGGCATATGTAATGGAGATGGCAAGCTCCTCCAACATGTGTAAGATTTCTACTTAATGCATTTCCAAACGTGTTGCAAAATAATTCATTAACTAGAAATGTGTGTGGCTGGGACTGTCTCAGGGGAAAAGCAGGGCCAGGGAGTGGGAGCAAGGATGTGGGAACCATTAGTTCATGCCTGTCCCCGGGGATGGAGAGAGCACAGCATCTGCTCCTTACGTGCTCTGAGGTGCAGGCCCCTCCTCACCAGGGCTGGGCCAGCACTGGGGCCACAGGGCAGGAGGGACTGGTCCAAAGCCGAGTGGAGAGAAGAGGGTGGGGCTAGCTCATCTCCAGGCCTCTCCCCACCCCAGGTTCCCATATCCCCCATATTGTAGCCCCAGGTAATAAGTAGAAGCAGAAGTTGGGTGTGGGGAGAGAGCTTCAGAAATAGTAGAGACAAGAAAACTGTCTCTGAGATAGTTATTGGGGTGCAGGCTCTTTCATCCCCCCCCCCCCCCACCAATGCTCTAGCTGTGTCCTCTCTGGCTTTGGCTCCAGGCTATTGTTATGTATTAGGGATATTTGTTCATTCACTCAACCAGTCAACATTTATGGAACATCTGTTGTTTGTGGAAAATCTGCTTGTTAATTCAGCTGTGCAAACAACCAACCTTCTTATTAAATGCCTATTATTCATTCATTTCCTCATTCACTCATTTGTTTTAAGCAATGAACTAACCAGCCAATATATATTGAATACCTGCTAATTCACGTATTCATGCATCCAACGGACAACAAAGTACCTACTGTTTGACTGATCATGCATCCATCCATCCATCCATCCATCCATCCATCCATCCAACCAATATAGATTGAATATTAAATCCTATTTATTCATGCAATCCACAAACATGTACAAAGATCAAGACACAAATCCTACTTTCAAGGAGCTTAGAATCAAGTAACAATATTAATAGCTAACATTCGTTTAGCATTTAATGTATCTGCTCAGCTAAATGCTTTACATATATTAACTCTTTTGCTAACATAGGTACCACGAAGAAACAGGCATAGAGAGGTTAACTAAATTTCTCAATGTTACACAGCTTTTTTGGGAGGAGAAAGAGATGAACTGGCTCTTTCTCTGGGAGATATAGGAGTTGGCATTTGATCTGGATATTTTTAAAAAATATTTTTTCTTTATTGGTTTTAGAGAGAGAGGAAGGGAGAGGAAGAGAGAGATAGAAACACTGATGAGAGAAAACATCGACTGGCCGCCTCCAGCATGCCCCCATTGGGGATTTGGCCCACCACCTGGGCATGTGCCCTGACTGGGAATCAAACCGGCAACCTCTTGGTGCTGTGTCGACGCCCAACCACTGAGCCACACCAGCTGGGCTTGATCTGGATCTTAAAGGAGACATAGGGGTCTGTGAGCTGGGGAAAGGTAGGAGAGGGATCTTGAGCTGGTTAATGTTGGGAACTGGGGAACACAAAGACATATAGAGCATGATTTCTACCCTCGGGAGCTTCCACAGGCATAGATAACATCCCCACGAGGAATGGTGGGGATGGTCTGAGATGGTGAGCAACGAATCAGGAAAGTGGTACAAATGAAATCGGTAGCAGCAGAAGGATGGATTCTTCCGGTCAGTGGTGATCAGAGATGCAGTCGTGGAAGACAGCTTAAGGCAGTCCTTGGATGGAGGCTGAGGAGGATCTCCTGACAGAGGCGGGGCTGGGGAACACAGCAGCAGGTGGAATGACCTGGGAGACACCTGGGCTAGAATACAAGTGGGGCCATTCAGGCTTAAGTATGTGAGCAGGAAGGGAGGGCGAGTCTGGAAGAAGCTCACGTGGCCATCTAGGGAGATTAGGCTTTATTAAGGAGGCAGTGGAGAGAGCCACTGGACATTTTTGAAGTGCTAATTGTTCTCTGTCTTGTTTGTATGCGCCAGGAGAAGGAATCCCTCAAGTTGCATCACCCAGATCCCTTGCTGGCCAGCTTCAGATTAGGTTCAGTCAATACAGGGACACTGGCAGCGAATCTGAACGGAAGAGCAAACAACTCCACTGCTCCGTCCTGCTAATTGCAGCTGTGTCTTTCCAGAAATTTAATATTTTTTTATGTTTCAATTATAGTTTACATGCAATATTACATTAGTTTCAGGTGTACAATATAGTGATTAGATATTTATATAACTTACAAAGTGATTACCCTGTTAAGTCTAGTGCCCATCTGACACCACACATAGTAAGCACAATAGTATTGGCTATATTCTCTGTGCTGTATTTTACCTCCCTATGACTTTTTATAATTAGCAATTTGTACATCTTAATCACTTCCCAAGATATATATACACCATATCTTCTTTACCCATTTATCTACTGGTGGACACTTAGATTGTTTCCTTATCCTGGCTATTGTAAATAATGCTGCAATGAACATAGGAATGCATATGTCTTTTCTAATTAGTGGTTTGTGTTCCTCTGAATAATACCAAGAAGTGAAATTACGGGGTCCTTGTTTTAAAGTCTATTTTGCCTGATATAAATATTGCTACTCTAGCTTATTTTTGTCTCTATTTGCATAAAATATCTTTTCCATCCATTTACTTTCAGTCTGTGTCTATCTTTCAATCTGAGGTGGGTCTCTTGTAGGCAGCATATGTATAGGCCTTGTTTTCTTAACCATTCAGCC